AGAACCAAAGGAAAGGCGGTTTCTGTTGAGGAAAAATTGGAGGACACAACTTTAACACAAGTGTTGGAGAGGCAAAACAAGTAAACAAATTGCTTGTATTACACTTACAAAATATTACAACACTCAAAACTCTCAAAGACATTTTAGAAGCAATGACACTCACTCACTTTCTAGAGAGAAGCTCTAGACCACTCACCTTCCTCACAAGACTACTCTTACTTCTCACTCTTACTTGGTTGCTTGATCACTTCTTCGTTACAAGCTTACTTACACCATTACATATTTATAAGCTTGCTAAACCGATTTACTAAGTCGGTGGAATGGACTCATTTCATCCTAACATTGTTCTAGGCTTTTCTACAAACAGCCCATCAACATGGGCTTTGCTTATAACCTCACATATGTTACAATAGCTAGATAATTATGGCTTGTTAATATGCATGCATCCCACCGACACACTTATGCTAGAAGTTTCTAGCATGCATATGCTTTTTCCTTTGGTTCTTCATCATAGGCTAGACTTTATTCTTTAGGCTCTTTGGGTTGGTGTTGTACTTCAACACTCCTCCTCAACACTAGCTCATTCTTTCCTCCATGTTGAGTTAATGCCAGAGCTTTTTCTTGCACACCCATTTGCGTGATATGGACATCTCTTCGCTTTGGCACGAGATTCCATGCTTGATTTAGCTCTTTTGTAATGACCTCTTTTCCCAACTTTGAGCCATTCAAGTTTAACTATTTCTTCCTCTATGGCTACGTTGGCAAATTTAGAATTTGGCTTTGGGATTCCTGTTGACCTCCTTAGTTATGACTGTGGAGTTGATATTTCCATTTCACTAGGTCTTTCTTTTTCTGGTTGTTGATATACGCTAGTTTGCCAAGGGGTTTGAGGTGCTGTTTGCTTAATATCATCACCATTAAGTGAATCCTCAAACTCATATAGTCTCGATTGGATTCAAACAGTTTGTTCCCCCATCTTCTGCTGCAGCTTATCCTCAATGTATCTCAAATCCGGCAATGCCTCTATTTCTAAAGACCACAAAAAAATGCTTCATCAAAGACCACATCTCGTGATGTGTACATCTTCCAGTTGTAGGATCATAACATTTCCACCTTTTTCTTTGGCTGTCGTATCCCATAAAGATACATCTGATTGCCTTCTTGTCAAACTTGCTACGTAAATGACTTGGAACAAATACGTAGCACAGACAGCCAAATACTCGAAAGTAACTAACTGTAGGTTTCATATCCCATAGTTTCTCAAAGGGTGGGACAAGTTTTAACCTTGTTTGAGGAAGCCTGTTGATCACATGAGCTACAGTTCTCATTGCTTCGGCCCAAAACCTTCCTGGTACGTTCTTGGCATGGAGCATACTTCGACATATCTCTGCAAGATGTCGATTCTTTCTTTCCGCTACACCATTTTGTTGTGGCGTGTTAGCACATGTGAACTGGTGATGTATTCTACATTCTCTTAGATACTGAGAAAACTCATTGGAGGTATATTCTCCTCCATTATCCGTGCGTATGCAACAGATCTTCTTTCCCACTTCTCTTTCAACTGTCTCCTTAAACTCTTTAAATTTTGAAAATGTTTCATATTTTTCTTTCATAAAGAAAATCCATACATACTTGGAGAAGTCATCAATGAACGTCCCCATGTACCCATCCCACTTATCGATGGTTGCTTGACAGGCCTAAACACATCGGAATGAACCAACTCCAACAGTTATTTCACTTTAAACTTCGACTCTTCGTATGGTAGTTGATGTGCTTTACCATACTGGCATCCTGCATAAATTGTGTATGTTCTCATGTTAAGATGAGGTAGCCCCTTAAGCATTGACTTCTTCATCATCACATTTAACTTGTGATAGCTAACGTGACCCAATCTCATGTGCCATAAATCTACTGTCTCATTTTTCCTTGTTTTGTCTACGTATGCAGTTTCTACTGACATTACATAGACTGATTGCAGTCGTCGTCCCTCCATTGTTGGCGTCCCTAAGATCTTAAGGTGTCGATACACATTCATATCTTATGGACCAAACAAGACATAATTTCCTAATGACGTTAGTTGCGGCATTGAAAGTAAATTTTTCTTCATACCTGGAACATGGTAGACATCCTGAAGTGGTACATGGTTAGTGTTGTATCGGGGCTTAATTACTGTCTTACCGATGTGAGCAATCGGTAGCCTCAAGTCGTTAGTCGTCACCACTAAGCGGCCTCTTTTGTACTCAGTCAAACTTTGTAATTTTTTCTCATCACCTGTCATATGGTTTGAGCAACCTGAATCCATGATCTAATCATTCTGGTAGTCAATCAACTCCGGACTTGCTGCTGTGAGAGCTAGCTCTTGCTTTTCCATAGCAACAGATGCTTCAGTGTCCCATTATTCCCCCAGGGCTAGAAACGCAATGACGTCCCAATCATCTTCAATATTCTCCTTTGAGCTGGCAACATTACTCTTTGTGAACTTTTTGAACTAGCAATTTTTCACCATGTGACCCTTCTTACCACAGTTGTAACATTTTCCCTCAAACCTTTTATTATTCTGGGATTGACCACGGTTGTCGTGATACTTCAGAGCTCTCCCTGGCCAAGAACTCCCTCCTCATTGATGACTTTTTTCTTGTCACCATTTCTTTTCGATCCACCACTAGCACGTTGCTTAAAGTTGCTTTTACTTTTGGTGTAGAGCACTTCCTTTTCACCTTTTAACAAGACCCCTCCCATTTGCTTTGCCAAAACTTCTTGATTGGTAAGCGAATTTTCAAACTCAATAAGTGATGGTTGGGTCGGCCATCCTTGTACAGCAGCAACGAAGCCTTGATATTTGGGTCTCAACCCATGGATAATTATTCTTTTTATCTTGGATTTTACAATGGCAGCATTAGGATCTAATTCAGAAATTTTACGGCAAATAAACTTTACCTTGTGGAAATATTCGACAATCGTCATGTCTTGTTGGGCCACTGATAACAACTCGTTCTTGAGAAGCTGCAGTCTTGTATCGTTCCTATTTGAAAAGAGTGTGGCGAAGGTGTCCCATGCTTCTTTTGGTGTTTTGGCTTTCCGTATGTGCTCCAACATGTCATCTTCAATTGTGGTTTTTAAGGCGAACATTGCCTTACTTGCCTAGATCTTCCATTTCCGCAAAGTGCCGCTGGTGTCTTCTTTCAGCTGTGTAACTTCATTACCGCCGACGATATCCCAAAGATCTTGGCCTTGTAGGTAAGATTCCATACATGTCGCCCATTTGTTGTAATTTTTTGTTGTTCAACTTCTTGATTCCTTTAACAACTTGAAGATCTCCCATTGTGTCGGTAGAAATTCGATAAGCCGAACAAGATTAGTCAACAATCTTGTGAAGCACTAAACTTCTCACGATTCTCGGAAGCTTCCTTAGATATGGTCCCTAATCGTACCGCTCTGATACCAATTGTTGAGGAAAAATTAGAGTACACAACTCTAACACAAGTGTTGGAGAGACAAAACAAGTAAACAAATTACTTGTATTACACTTACAAATATTACAACACTCAAAACTCTCAAAGACACTTTAGAAGCAATGACACTCACTCACTTTCTAGAGACAAACTCTAGACCACTCACCCTCTTCACAAGACTACTCTTACTTGGGTGCTTGATCATTTTTTCGTTACAAGCTCACTTACACCATTACATATTTATAGGCTTGCTAAATCGACTTACTAAGTTGGTGGAATGGACTCATTTCATCCTAGCATTGTTCTAGGCTTTTCTACAAACAGCCCACCGACATGGGCTTTGCTTATGACCTCACATATGTTACAATAGCTTGACAGTTCTATCTTGTTAATATGCATGCATCCTATCGACACACTTATGCTAGAAGTTTCTAGCATGCATATGTTTTTTCCTTTGGTTCTTCATCATGGGCTAGACTTTATTCTTTGGGCTGGTGTTGTGCTTCAACAGTTTCATGGGATGAAACTCGATTGGGAATTCGATCAATTTCTCTCCCACAAAGCTTTCACTGAAGCTTCAAATGGATTTCTCCTAGATGACACTTATGTGTTGGGAGCAGAGGTCTTTGTTTCTAAAGAGAGAAGCAAAGGCAAAGGAGAGCGTCTATCAATGGTAAAGGATCCTGTTATGTACAAGAATACTTGGAGGATTGACAACGTATCAAAGCTAGATGCGGAATCCTACGACTAAAAAACATTCATTGCTGGAGACCAGAAATGGTATATAACACTAGACTTGTTAGACTTCGCTCTTGGTATAAGAAATTTCTCTCGAGGATATCGAAAACTTAAGCGCAGTATATCTGAAAATGTTGTAAATGAGTTGGTTGTTGGTGTAGGAAGATGCAGCTCTATCCCAATGGAAAAGGCAATGGATTTGGAACCCATCTGTCTTTTTTTCTGGCGTTAGCCGAACCGAAATCACTTCCTCCTAGCTGTCAAATATATGCAGGGGTTACTTTACGGATCCTAGACCAGCAGTATGGCTCGTGGTATATCTCTGGTAAAGATAAAAATTTTGCCCAATCCTACTGCTACATAATCATACGAGCAAACAAGGATTAGAACATCTAACAAACATTCAATTAAGGGTGGTTTTATTGCTTCCGTCATGCTAAAATTCCCACCATGAAAGACGATGAGACTCTAGTTCTTGGAGGTGTTTGAGTCGTGATGGTGTACCATGTTGGTGATACTTACTATTGAACCTGTGTTCATTTGAAAACCAATATCGAGAATTTCTGATTGCAACCTACTGAAAATGTTCACAATTTTTTGGTTACAAGAAAATATGGTAATTACGACACTTTTTTTACGACGCGTGATGCAGCCGTCGCAATAACTATCAAATTTCATTATTTTATGCGCGCTAAGCTTTGGCGCTCTGTTGTTTGCGACATGAATAAGTTCCGTCGCACACCTCTGTTGTGAATAAGTAGAAGAAAACAAAACACAACTGCACGCTCTCATCTCCTTCTCGCTCTCTTCCTCTCTAGTTCTCGTTCTCCGCCTATCTCCCTCTCTTCAAAGCATAGATCCTTCTTTGCCACTCTTGCCACAACCACTGATGCTGAGACACAATTGAACCAGGTAAGGATTTATGTTTCTTGTTCCTCTCTTAAATCTCCCCTTTCCCTAACCCTAATATTTTTTGTCATCTCTTAGTCTTTTCTTTTTGCCGCTAGAAATTCGAATTCAACCTCATCCCTTCTGATTCGGTAATATTATTTGAGGAATTATCTTCTAATTTGTTTTTTCTTGGTGTTGTTTCGTCATTTTTTCCCGCAAATTCCAGTCTTATCTATTCTCCATTAGTTCTCCCATTGTTTAGGGTTTCTTTTTGTCATTTCTATGTTCAATTTCATCACTAATTGCTTATATTGTTGGAGGATTTTTTGTAATTGGAGCTAGTCAAAGAAGTATGCTGGCTTGGTTTTGTTTATTTATTCTTTATTGGCACTGGTGACTCGGTCAGCAAGAGAAGCAGAAATTTGGTGGTGGATTAATTGGAGAAGGATGAGGAAGAAAGCATTGATGAATGCAGAGATAATGGCGGTGCTTTTGTGAAGAAGCACGGGGTGGTCAGAAAAAGGTGAGATTTGTAGGGGAAAAGGGAAGAACTGTTTGGAAAGGATTGGTGAATGATGAGTAGAAATCAGAGCAAGACGGAGGAGAAAATGGAAAGCGAGCCTCTAAGAAAAAGTGAGAATGGGGTGTAGTTTAAAGGTAGAAGATGAAGTGGGGCATTTTGATGACATCGATACAGAGAAAGGTTTGCGAAGAAGCAAGAAAGTGGGTTATTTTCTTGGGGTCATAAAGGATCATACGAAGCAGGAAGAAAGAAAAGTAAATAAGCAGTCCAAGAAAGTAAGTAATTTGTAAATTCTATGTTTATGTCATTTGTTGTCAATGTTGTGATTTACTCGTTTATGTTAATAAGTTACAACTTAAGTTAGCATCTGAAAGATTACCTAACTGTTTGAACAATCTCTAATTGAAATGTAATGCTTTATTTTACAAGTGCTATTTTTTCATGAACCTATTATATGTAAAAACATCCCTGGAATAGTTCCTGGTAATGGCTCGAAGTCATTTCTAATCTTGAATGTAAGTAAAATGATGTGGGAAATGCTCAATACGTGTCCAATTTACAGGTTGGAAGAAAGCCATATGTATTCCTAGGCATGCCTTTGGCGATCAGTATCGAGCCTGATACAGTTGTCAAAGGGCCATGAAAACTTGAAATGGTTTTTAGTAAGTAAATCTCAACATTCTAGATCATATGATTGTGCTGGTGAAGTAATTTCCCCTTGAATATGGTTTTCTGCTTCGCATCTATCTGTTTGTAATGCTAAGTCCCAGAAGGAGTCTCCCCTATTGCACTTGATGTCTACAATTTCAAGGGGCCTGGTGTGGCCCTTTCTGTGTATAAATGCTGATGAGGTTTGTGTTACCACAGTGGGCATCGCATACCTTTTTGTTCATTTAGGCAAATGTGCAGATAAACTTTACTAACAAAACCTTGGTTTTTTTGTAGTCTATTCCAGAGTTTGCCGACTTGTCAATGTCGTTGGCTCTTTCCAAGAAGTGGCCACTACACTTAAGCACCAAAAACACTATTATGAAAAAATAGTGAAGTACGATGGCAGGTAAATTTACCTTTGTTGGAAGAATTATTCAACATTCAACTATCAATTCTATATCATTTAGTTCTATAAGGAAATTATTACAAATGTTGAGTTATTTGACTGCCCCAGGTTTAAGGACATATTTGAGGAGGTTTAGGACGAGACGTGGAAGTATAAGTTTGAAGACAATTCTACATGGTTTGTATTATCATGAGGACCTTGACGTTGGAATATAGAACCTATTAACGTTTTGATCATGTATATATGTTTCATTACTGTAAGTGAAATACATTCTTTGATATCTAAGTGTTTCTCATTTTGTGAATTATGAATTTTATCAGTTTGGATTTTATTTTAGTTTGAAATATGTAGTAACATTTCACATGAAACAATAATGTGATTGTGGCGTCCCATTTGACGCCCAATATTTTTTTTTATACCTGGTGCCAATTATTTGCGACGCGTTACTTGCTGTCGCAAACCCCGTAGCAAATAGTATTTGCGACGCGCTAAAAACGTCACATATAATCGACCAACAATTACGACGCCTATGTATTGCGACGCGTCATTGGCCGTCGCAAGCTCGTCGTAAAAGGCTTGTTGCGACGCTTTTTGCTGTTTTTGCGACACGTTTTGACCGTCGCAAAAGGCCTTTTTTTTGTAGTGGTTGGTCGTAGCGAAAGATTTTAGGGTTTAATTCGTTTTGTGATTCGGGTAGCCCAATCAGTCGTCCTCACGGTCCATTTTCTGAAAACATTTGAGTGTTTCTTAAAAAATGTGCTGAACTTGAAGACTGTAGTGTTCGGGGCATGCCCATTTGGTGCACTCTTGAAATGTTGAAACTCATGTTGAACTTCTAGTATTTAGCAGAAAGCAACTGAATGTTTTCAGCAACATGACAATAAACCGTATATAGACAACAATTTAATTTGTTTAGTGTCATCCAGTTCTATCTTTTATTAAAAGTTTGTAACCAACTCTATTTGCATGTTTTACCCTTGTGGAAACAGACTCTTCGCAACGTAACAGTAAAGCTGTTTACGATAAATTGTACTGGTCGAATGGATGACAACACGCTCTTTACTTGTTTGAGGTAAAGTGTTCTTCAAAAAAACAAAAAGAGCTTTCCCGTGGGTCAAGTGAAGCCTACTGCTTAAGATATGGTAAGCCAAAAGCGGACAATATCTTGCTATGGCACATCCGATCTAGGATGTGACATAGACAATTGAATCGGGTGACAGTGAAGAACCGTTATCCTTTACCTCAGATCGATGACCTATTCGACCAGTTGAAGGGTGCACATGTATTCTCTAAGATCTATCTTTGCTCAGGTTATCATCAATTACTTATCCGTGAAGATGTGACGAAGACTGCATTCCGCACTAGGTATGGACACTATGAGTTCCGTGTCCTGCCTTTTGGATTAACAAATGAACCTACAACATTTATGGATTTGATGAACAAAGTCTTCATACCGTATCTGGATCGGTTTGTGATTGTGTTTATTGAAGACATTCTAATTTATTCCAAAAATGTTGCTGAGCACAAGAAGCATCTGTGGGTGGTGCTGGAAAGGTTAAGAAGAATCAGTTGTATCCTAAGTTCAGTAAATGTCAGTTTTGGCTTACCCAGATTAGTTTTCTCGGACATGTAGTGTGTGCTGAGGGAATTAGTATGGACCCTCAAAAGGTTTCAGCAGTGTCTACTTGGGAGCAACCGAGAAACATTACTAAAGTGAGAAGTTTTCTAGGTCTGGTTAGCTATTACAGATGTTTTGTACAAGACTTCTGGGTAATCTCCCTGCCTCTTACTAAGTTGACTCGTAAGGGGGTCAAGTTCGAGTGGGATGAGATTTGTGAACAGAGTTTTCAGGAGTTTAAACGGGAATCACGAAAAAAACTACCCTACTCATGATCTGGAGTTTGGAGCAGTAGTTTTTGCCCTAAAGACCTGGAGACACTACTTGTACGGCGAAAAGTGCCGCATCTTCACTGATCGCAAGAGCCTAAAACATGTCTTCACTAAGGAGGATTTTAATTTAAGGCAGAGAAGATGGATGGAACTCATCAGTGATTATGACTGCACTATCAAATATCATCATGGACATTCCAATTTCGTACCGCTTTATGATGATGGAGTATCTGTGAGTGGACCCCTTCTAAATTGCAAGTTTTAAATAGTAGAAATGCATATATGAAAAGCAGGATTTATTGATTACGTTTTATGAAACGTTTTATAAGATATTATGCTTACTTAGAATATTTTGGAATACCATATATTCTATCGAACCCATGTTCTTTGTAGGGTTTTTGATAAATGACGATATACTATTTAGAACATGTTTTCACACCCTTCTTTATAGTATAGATGATGGATGACTTTATACTATGAAAATGCTTTTGAAATATATGTACCTATGTTTTAGAAAGACTATGTTTTATAAAGACTATGTTCAATGCTTTTGTGTGTATCTAGTGGTCACTGTATTGCCTTCGGGGCGGGCGCTGTTTTGTGCACATCAAAGATACTTACAACGCCATTCTCTTCTTTCTCTTCTTTCACATAATTGACCTTCTCATCAAGTCTGATGTTTGGAGCTCTACATTCCTAAGCATAATGCCCGAACTTTGAGAATTATAACATTGAACTTGAGATTTTCATACCTTAAGTTTGAGCATCCTCTTCCATGACCTTTTGTTAAGCTTTCTCTTTTTTCGTAGTTGTTATGGTTGTTGAAGTTCCAACCACGTCCACGCCCATGTTCACGTTCGCGACCTCGGCCACGACTTCTTCTGTACTGGCTTCTCTCGTTGTTGAAGCTTTCTTCTTTCTTCTTTGGCTAGACATGCGTCTTGGGGAGCTGCTCATCATTTCCTTGCCTCTTCTTATGTTTCTCTTCATATGCTTGTAGCGAACCCATTAATTGCTCTATACTAATTTTTTCCAAGTTTTTAGTTTCTTCAATTGTCACGACAATGTGCTTGAACTTGGGGTCCAACGAGCGTAGTATCTTCTCCATAATTCTAACATCTTCTAACTTTTCTCCGTTTCTTTTAATTGATTGGAAACAGCTAAGACTCTTGAGAAATAATCAGAGATTGATTCAGACCCTTTCATTTGTAGAGATTCAAACTCACCTCTTAATACTTGAAGACGAACCTTTTTCACTTGTTCGGCTCCTTTGTAAGAGGTTTGAAGCTTCTCCCATGCTTGCTTGGCAGAGGTTGCACTCGAGACCTTCTCAAAGCCATTATCATATAATGCTTGGTAGATGAGGTAGAGAGCCTTCTTGTCTCTCTTTCTTGAATCTTTCAAACTCTCATTTTGGGGTTGGGACAGAGTAGCTTCATCTTCTGGCTCAATGTAGCCTTTCCCCATGACTTCCCATACATCATGTGCTCCCAAAAGGGCCTTCATTTTGATACTCCAATTATCGAAGTTGTTGTTGTCGAGCACTGGAACTTGGAAGGCTGCCATAGTGTTGCTAGCCATAGCTTTGGTACCACTTTGTTGGGGTTTAAAAATGCTTCACTACTTTGGAGATGTTTATCTCACAAAGAAGAGTATGACGCAATGGAATTTGATAGGCAAGAGAAAGAAAAAACACTCAAAGTATTACACAATTTTTATTCTCACACAAACTTAGTACAAGAGGAAACACTCACTCTTAGAAGCTTTGTTAGTTCTTCTCACTTCTTACTCCTCACTTCACTCTTTTTCTCACTCCTCTCTTGGTTGTTACATCACATAGCTTAGCACCTCACCTATTTATAGGCAAGGTTTGCCAACTTTGGCATTGCTAGAACTTTCTAGCTAATGCTTAACAACCACACATTTTTACAAGATTCAAGATCTTTCCACAAAAAGCCTTAGATATTTATGCATGCATTCCACCAACTTGAACTTTGCTAGAACTCTGTAGCATGTGCATGGACCTTTCTTTGTGTATGGGCTGGATCAATTGTCTTGGGTCAAGAAAAGATTACAATTCAACACGGATATCTCATGGAAGAGGTGTATTTGGAGCGGACATTTTTGTTTGTAAAGAAAGAAGAATAGGAAATGGAGAGCGTCTATCAATGATCAAGGATGCTGTTAAGTGCAAGTATGTTTGGAAGGTTGAGCAATTTTCAATGTTAGATGCTGAGAGTTAATACTCACAACTCTTAATTGCTGAAGACCAGAAATCGTATCTCCAATAGGTTTTCAATTTACTCTCTTATCAATACCTTTTCTTTGCTGAAGTCAATTTTTAGCTAACTGAAAAGAGATGGATATACTTTAAGAGGTTTGAACTACATATGCAATTTGTACATACATAATGTTTACATTATCCCTTAAGGTGTCAAGTTGTAGTTTTCCTTATAATGTAAAAAACTGCTCATTTTTATTAAACTTGAAAGGTTAATGGAATCTTGAAATGTTCTCATATACCTCTTCTAATGGTCGCTGGAGGAAGATTCAGCTCTGTCCGAAAGGAAATTATGATGGGAAGGGTACTCATATTTCACTTTACTTGGAATTGGATGGTTCAGAAGACCTTCGTGATTCTAAAGTGTTTGCTGAGTTTTCCCTGCGCATTGTAGATAAATCCCTTCCTTGAACAAGTCTTCTGAAGGTAAATTTGTCCTCTTTCAAGTTTAATTATGTATATAGTCCCATATAACATGAGGATTTATTCCGTGCCCGTGTAGCTAGCCGCTGGTTCAGTGCCGCAGATTAAAGTTTTGGTTGGTCTTGTTTCATTCCACTGGACACTTTCAAACATGCAGGCAAGGGGTTTTTGTTGAATGACACTTGCATAGTGGAGGCCAATGTCATTGTCCTCGGAGCTGCAAAAGCACTGCAGTCTGCTTGTCTTCAGTTTCAATGTTGCTAAAATGATGTTAACTGACTTATGAATATGAATGAAAGTTCTGCGTCCACGATATGGTTTGTACTAAATGTGGCGCTTCTATAGAACCCTAGAGCAGCAATCCTTTCCCACCAGATGACTTGTGGTTGAAAGGCATTTTTATCTTTGGATTTATGTTGGGCTCAAGTTTGTGCATTTGTTTCAAAAATGATTGAAATGCATTTTTTGCTCAAAAATATGGTTGAACGCCAAATATATCGAGTCTTGACCAGTAATGTCATACGACTAACATCTCTTGTCTATAGCCGAAACTTTGTTTTGCTTGTGTAATCTTAACTTCCTGCTAAACCGTAAACATTGTTCAGTTTAATAAGAAATAAAATTGCAGAATATGTGTTTTGAAGCACCTAAAGCCAGGTGATGGATACATTTTCAATGAAAAAAGGCAACCTTTTGAAGCAAAGCATGACGGTTCTATCCTTTTTTTTTCTTCACAAACAATAGCGTTGCTAGGTTCAATTGTTAGTGTTCAGGGGGAGGGGATGGGTAGAGATCAAACCCGCACCAAGGTGCATAGGCATGATTGCTTTCCGCCACTGCAGTAAAGCATCATCTGCAACATTTATATCCTTTAAAGCTTTCTAGTTAGGAATAACACCTATATTTTTCCTTACAAGCAGGTGATGGATACCTTTCAAATGAAACAATGGCAACCCTTTTGAAGCAAAGCATAACATTTCTATCCTAAAAAGCTTTCAAGTTAGGAATAATACCTTTAATTTTTCCTTATAAGCAGGAAAACATATTTGGTTCTAGAACAGAAAACCTGGTTGAATCCTTTGTAACTTGTATTGAATTATTGGAAAATCAAGTTTGTTGATATGACGAGTCTCAACTTCGATGACCAAGATGGTAAGATACTTTACATGTTTGCTTGAGTGTGTTGAAGTTGGAAATTGGTACCTAATGTACACGTTTCTTTTCAGGGATACTGAGAACTATTTCGGATGCACCACCAATCCATTACACAGTAAAACTACAATCGATTTCGTTGCTCACCAAACATAACTTGGAGAAATATGAATCTGGGGACTTTGAAGCCGGAGTATACAAATGGTACAATCCTTTCTCTCTATTTCTGAGCATAGGTTCTTATTGTTCCTTTTCTCATAAGCTTTGCGTTAATTGCTAGTGTTTACTTCTTTTTTTGGAGCTGCGTTGGAGTACTATAAATTGTTGTTTTGCTGCAGGAAACTGGTTTTCTATCCGAATGGAAACAAGAACAGGAATGTGAAAGAGCACATCTCTCTCTACTTGGTAATGTCTGGAGCAACTGCTCCCCATATTTCTTCGGAAGTGTATGCTGTTTTCAGGTTGTTTATTCTCGATCAGAACAACGGCAATTACTTCGTTCTTCAAGGTACCATTTCTTCTTTTAACTCAACGAATAAAAAGGGCTTATAGTTCTCATATTTGTGAAGCGTCGTCTCATTTTCCAATCTTTTTAAAATATGCATTGCTCAGAACCAAAGGAAAGGCGGTTTCATGGGATGAAACTCGATTGGGGATTCGATCAATTTCTCTCCCACAAAGCTTTCACTCAAGCTTCAAATGGATTTCTCATAGATGACACTTGTGTTTTGGGAGCAGAGGTCTTTGTTTCTAAAGAGAGAAGCAAAGGCAAAGGAGAGTGTCTATCATTGGTAAGCAAAGGCAAAGGAGAGTGTCTATCATTGGTAAAGGATCCTATTATGTACAAGAATACTTGGAGGATTGACAACGTATCAAAGCTAGATGCGGAATCCTACGACTCAAAAACATTCATTGCAGGAGACCAAAAATGGTATATAACACTAAACTTGTCAGACTTCGCTCTTGGTATAAGAAATTTCTCTTGAAGATATCGAAAACTTAAGCACAGTTTATCTGAAAGTGTTGTAAATGTGATAGTGGTTGTTGCAGGAAGATGCAGCTCTATCCCAAGGGAAAGGGCAATGGAGTTGGAACCCATCTTGCTTTTTTTCTGGCGTTAGTCGAACCAAAATCTCTTCCTCCTGGCTGTCAAATATATGCAGAGTTTATTTTACGGATCCTAGACCAGAAGTATGGCCAGTACCATATCTCTAGTAAAGGTAAAGATTTTGCCTAATCCTACTGCTACATAATAATACGAGCAAAAAGGATTAGAACATCTAACAAACATTCAATTAAGGGTGGTTTTATTGCCGCCATCATGCTAAAATTCCCACCATGAACTACGATGAGACTCTAGTTCTTGGAGGTCTTTGAGTTGTGATGGCATACCATGTTGGTGATACTTACTGTTGAACCTACGTTCAGTGGAAAGCCAATATCGAGAATTTCTTATTGCAACCTACTGAAAATGTTCACAATTAGTCAGTAGTGAAAGATTTTAGGGTTTAATTCGTTTTGGGATTCAGGTAGCCCAATCAGTCATCCTCACAGTCCATTTTCTGAAAACATTCGAGTGTTTCTTCAAGAATGTACTGAACTTGAAGACTGCAGTGTCCGGGGCATTCCCATTTGGTGCACTCTTGAAATGTTGAAACTCATGTTGAACTTCTAGTATTTAGCATAAAGTAATTGAATGTTTTCAGCAACATGACAATAAACCGTATATAGACAACAATTTAATATGTTTAGTGTCATCCAGTTCTATCTTTTATTAAAAGTTTGTAACCAACTCTATTTGCATGTTTTACCCTTGTGGAAATAGACTCTTTGCAACGTAAGAGTAAAGCTGTTTATGATAGATATTCCTTCCCGGAGAGTCCTGTTAGCTTGGAGTCACCCTTTTACCCTTTTTTCCAATATACTATTGAACTGAGAATCCTTTTTGTTGATTGCAGCAAATCACTGGTTCAGTGTCTCAAATTCGATGAAGGGATGGATGAGATTTACTACTCTGGGATCATTCAACCAGACACACATTGTGTTGAATGATACTTGCATTGTGGAGGCAGACGTCACTATCCATGGAATTATTGATGTACTGTAGCCAAATAGTATAATAGTACAAAATTCCTGCTATGTGAAACTTTGGGGGTGTAAAATAGTAAAGCTAGTCGAATAAGGTGTTAAAAACACATTCATTTCACTTGTGAATACCATTGTATCGTTTGTGACTACATGGTGAATAAATACATCATTGTCTGCTCTTCGTATACCCTTCTTTGACTACTACAAAATGGAGTTATTGTGTCATAGGTGATGTCGCTTTAATATAATATAATGGCGGACAAGACATTTACGACACCTACTGAACATGACGTCGGATTTACTGTCGCTTGTAAGCATCATAAACTGTCTATGTCGCTTTTAACCTACATAAACATTTAATGTCACTTATAATAACCGGCATACATTTTAATAATTTTTAAATAATGGTGTCGCTTTAAAAAAATAGTGTCGCTTTTAAGCGACATAAAGTATTGGTGTCGCTTTGAACCAATGCAATGTTTTCTTATTTCCACGCAACTTGCAATCACTATCATGTCTATTAGGCTTGCTTCGGTTTGAACCGAGGCATAATTTTCTTATTTCGACTCCATTTTCATCAAGTCTATCAGGCTCACGTCGGTTTTAACCGACACATTTTTTTCCTATTTCGACACCACTTGCCTTTTAGTAAGTGTGTCAGACTACTTGACTTAGTGTCGGTTTTAACCGACGTGAAGTCCAAATATTTCGATGCCAAGTGCGTTTCAATCAGTGTGTCAGAGAAAAGCAGCAATAGAGCTCAATATATTGGGGTAACAATGTAGTCCTTATTTCTCATCTCTAAACCCTTTTTGAAAACCTGTATTTACGTAATTTTTTTACAAAATTTCTTCTTCTTGAAATGGGCAGTGGCCGAAAGGGCAATATTCCCCAGAGGGTTCCTCTCCCCCCCTCCTGTGTATGGAGCATCATCTTTTAGCAGCTCAAAAACTTCCCGTGCTACCAGTTTCAGTTTGCCATCTTTCACGAACCCTTCCCATACCAGTTACGAGCCAAGTGTTCCTTCTTATTATGGAGATAGCAGTTCCGTCGGTACAGCTCCACCTACTCCCAACTCAACCTATGATAATCATGTATGCAAACTTCTCAGTTGCCACCTCTAAATACTGTTTTGATGGGTTTGTAGCGCTCTTGAGGGTTAACAGTTTATATGGTGATGAACAGGTTTGCTGTTAGACCCCACATCGCTTAAGGGAGTGGATCTTCTATGCCTTATATGTACATACCCACCTCTTATAGCACGAGGCATTTTGGAGACTCACTAGCTTCGGGTTCCATAGGAACTTTAAAGTTAAACGAGAAAAAGGCCACAGCATTCCCAGGATGGGTGACCCCTCGGGAAGTTCTCGTGTGAGTTCCTAGAAACAAAACTATGATGGCATGGTTGGGGTCCAAAGCGGACAATATCGTGCTACGGCGGAGTAGAGCCTAGGATGTGATGGGGGCTAGGTTGGGATGTGACATTTGCCCCATTTGCCTTACGAATCCGAAAGACATGGCCTTTGGTTGCGGGCATCAAGTACATTTTTGAACTATAGTTTCAAGATGAGTTGAGACGATCATATTTTTAGTACCGTGTTCTTAGTGTTATGTTTTCGGTGCAGACATGCTGCAAATGCAGACAAGATCTTCAGTCGTGCCCAATATGCCGAAGTGCAATCCAAACCCGGATAAAACTGTATTAACGACTATGTGCTTTCATGCCGGAGTTGGCTGACATTTTGTGTATTTGTTTATTTTTCAATCACATTCTTTGTAATCCATTGCTTCAGGTGGTCAGGAGGTTACTAGGTTTGGTAAATGGTTGGTCAAATCCAGCGTATGGTGATGATGATCCTTTTTTTTTTTTTGGTTGTTTAAGAAGAAAATGAAAAAGAAGTGAAGAGCTAGCCTCAAAGAAGTGAAGTTTTGGTGATTTTATGGACAACATCATAATTATTTTATTTATGGAGATGTTAGTTAATGTCGGTTACGACCGACAATAGATCTACTATTTTATTTATTTAACTTACGTGATGTCGGTTTGGACTGACAGTAAGTGTGATATTTTTATTGTGTATTTGTTACTTAAGGTCGGTTTTGACTGCTATCATATCAGATTTTCATGTCGCTTATAAGCGACGTAAGAGCCGATGTCGCTTTTAAGCGACGCTGTTGTTCATTTTTATTTGGGATACTTTGGATGCGGTCCCTAATCCTTAACATTATTTGATTAAATCTTAATGGTATTCAAAGTTTGATCAAAGTCCATTGACTTTGTACACCTCATTATATTACTATTAATATTTATATTTTTATAGTTTTGACATTAATTGTTTGATATTTTATGAGATTCAAAATCATATAAATTTAAAATCCCTCATTATAATACTATTAGAAACGGTTACAATAAAAAGAGTTCAAACATTTTGATTGAATAAATGGATAAAAACTATGTAAAAATAAGAAATAATAAATGGCAAAAGAATGTATCCATAGTGTTAAAAAAATTGGTACATTTTACAAAAAAATTGGTACATTTCACATATGACAAAGTGGTACATTAATAAAGAAGAATGGGTACATTATAAATAAATTAGGGTATATATAAAAGATTAAAAAATTATGAGTACAAATGAATTTTCAAAAAATATAGGCCCTAAAAGAATTTAAAACATGGGTACAAAATAAAACTAAAAAGAAAATACTACAAATTTTAAAAAAATGTTGCAAATTAAAAGTGAGTACAAACTAAAAATATAAATATATGATACAAAGTTTAGGCATAAAACATAAATATACCATATGTAATTTTTCTTTTATCATTGATTAAATATACAATGTCACGTGACGGTATACACATGGGTACAAACACAAATAAAACTTAAAAAAAAGATGGGCACAAAAAGAAACTAATATATGGGTACAAATAAAAAATGAAAAGAAAATTGGTACAAATTAAAACATATTTGCAAATTAAAAATAGGTACAAACTAAAAATAAAAATATATGATTAAGAATTTAGCCATAAATATAAATATACTAATTGTAACATTTTTAACACTAAAGGAATATATTTAAAAATAAAAATATTTTATTATTCAAATAATTAATGATGTTATTAATACCTAAGGACCTTGATAAAAAAATTAAAAATGTTTAATCAATGGAGTAACAAAAAGAAGGATGTGAAGCTAATATCTCATTTTTATTTTATATTACTTTGCTTCTTGGTGGCGGATTAAGGGGGCTAAGCGACATCATTACCCTTTTGGTGATGGTAGTATTGGTGTCGGTTCCTCTATTCGACATTGCATGATTTAATGTCAGATTTTTACCAAAAATCCGACAGTAATTGGTGTTTCTTGTTGGTTTTACACCGCCAGTGATATCCTCTTTTGTAGTAGTGTTTGTTTTCGGTTTCATTTTTCCTTCCATGGTGCTCGAGAGCATAGAATACTCCAGACTTTTTAACCTTTAGATTTTAATTTCTTTATTTTTAAACAAAGATCTGAACGGTTAAAGCACACGCAGTATCCCATACTCTGGGACATCGCAGAAAATCCTTTCTTTTTTCGTTGAACTTCGATTTGGTTGTTTACAGAGGAAAAGATTGGAAATATATTGGGACATGAAAGATAAATGAGACAATACTGAATTGGAAAATGTTGCATTTAATAAAAGTTGTGAACTTTACAGAATTCACAATGAATCAAATATACAAAGAACATGATAATACAGAGTGAAGCGGGCCTCACATGCCTGTTCTGATAGGGACGAGGCGATTAGATAATTAGGGGAGGAGATGGCAAGATTAGCCAAAGGTTTTCTCGCTGCTGTAACACATCCAGGAAACGGTCATCCTCCTTGTAAGTTTCATAGATGGAATCCAAGCGACTGGCCGTAAAGAAATACACATAATAAAGTGTTAAAGTGACTCCGAAAACATGATTCATGCGCGAAATTGTACTGGTCGAATGGATGACAACACGCTCTTTACCTGTTTGAGGTAAAGTGTTCTTCACATAAACAAAAAGAGCGTTCCTTGGGGTCAAGTGAAGCCTACTGCTTAAGATATGGATAAACTGTCCGACAGACATATCCCTAGGAACTAGGAATTTAGAAGAAACAAGGAAACACGGGATAGAGGTTATTCTCCTTAAAGTGAGAATGCATAAACAAGCAGCTAAAATTGACTGAGGATCCTCTCCGGATCCTCTTTGTGAGAATTTCGGGGACCCTCAAATCATATTTGTTCATCGTACATCGTGTGGTCAGTTTTCGTTAGATACTGTTTATATTTAATTTTAAATAAAAGTATTAAAATAATTTCTAACAGTACGATATACGATGAACAGACACGATTTGAGGATCCCCACAAAGAGGATCCGGAGAGGATCGTCGTTCACTAAGGGTTAGTTTGGTATTGCTGTGCTTTGAAAAAAAGCTGCTGTGAGAATAAGCGGCTGTGCTGTGAGAATAAGCAGCACTCCCAAACCACCCCTAAAATTGTCCAAGAAGTAAAACATTGGGATTATACAAAGCTGCAGATAAAGGAAATTCATCCAAGCAAAAAAGATCCTCAGAACACAGAGCGAGTAACAGAAGCCAAGCTCTCTGTTATACAAGAACGAAGAGTTATATATTCAGGATTCCTATAATTATGTCACATAAACCAGGAAGAAGGACCTAGAGACGGAAACTTTACTGACCTATAAGAATATCGAAATTCTTATATCCTAGAAAGTTTCATTTACAAATGTCGATGTGAAATTGTAAAACTAGGGTGCCATATTGCATTCAAGTTTGTTCTTGACATAGGAAAGATTGACCTTGTAGAAAATGAAGAGAACTGTGACAACTAAAACATACTTTTTCTTTTCCATTTCAGGCAGGTCTATCCAGGAATATCTTTCAATGTTCCCCTGCAGAAAGACATAAAAAGAACACCCTAATCAGTTTTGACATCTTATCCACCCTCTCAAAAATGCTTCCAATCAAGTCTAACCGTGTCGCTTGTACTTAAATTAAGCCACTTTATGATTGCACATGTGAGGTTATACGATAAAATCTTCCTAAAATAATCAATTCTTCCCGAGTGTATCAGATCTGTACACGAAATGCAATGAAAAAAACATCGATCAATGATACACAATTCTTCGAGGTGATAATGGGAACCATC